TATCACTCAGGCTGGAGTGCAGTGGTGTGATCTCAGCTCACTGCAACCTCTGCCTCCCAGGTTCAAGTGATTCTCCTGCCTCAGCGTCCCAAGTAGCTGAGATTACAGGTGCCCACCACCACACCCAGCTAATTTTTGTATTTTTGGTAGAGGTGGGGTTTCCCCATGTTGGCCAGGCTGGTCTTGAACTCCTGACCTTGTGATCTAGCTGCCTTGGCCTCCCAAAGGGCTGGGATTACAGGTGTGAGCCAGTACACCTGGCTTTTTTTTTTTTTTTTTTTTTTTTTTTTTTTTAAGTTAAGGGAACTGTTGGTTAGCAAAGTCAAATATCTTGCCCAAGGTCCCATGCAAAGTAGTGTCAGGACCAAGATTTGAACCCAGGTTAGCTGACTGTAACTGCACAGTACTGTCCCTTCACCCCTGTAACTGACTTCTTGTGATGTTTACCTTTTTAACTTCTTTTTCCTGGTGACTGATAATGTTCAGCATCTTCTCATGTTTTTATTGATCGTTCACCCAGCTACTTTTGTGAAATAGGACCTATTCAAGCGGTTTGTCCTTTCTAATACATTGGGTTATCTCATTATTATTAGGTGGTAATAGTTCTTTCTATAGTCTGGCTTTTCACTTTCAACTTCTTTGTGTCCTGAAGAGCTTCTAACATTTAAAGTGATTGTTTATATGTTTGGCCTGAAGTCTGCTTCCTTGCGATTTTCCACTTGTCCCTTTTACTTTTCATTTTTCTGTTGTTACTTTCCTGCTTTCTTTTGGATTGATATGTAATCTTTTGGAATATATTTTATTTCCTCTACTGGCTTCTTAGTCATATTTTAAAACAACTTTTTTTTTGGGATGGAGTCTCACTCTGTCACCCAGGCTGGAGTGCAGTGGTGCAATCTCAGCTCACTGCAGCCTCCACCTCCCGGGTTCAAGTGATTCTCTAGCCTCAGCCTCCCAAGTAGCTGGAATTACAGGCATGCGCCACCATGCCCGGCTAATTTTTTGTATTTTTAGTAGAGATGGGATTTCACTATGTTGGCCAGGCTGGTCTTGAACTCCTGACCTCAGGTGATCGCCCGCCTCAGCGTCCCAAAGTGCTGGGATTACAGGCATGAGCCACTGCACCCTGCCTTTAAAACAATTTTTAGTGGTTCCTCTAGAACTAACAATGAATCCTTATCAACATTTATTAAAGGTTAATATTTTATCACTTCCCACTTGACAATGGATGCTTCCTGGTTCCCACCTCACACTGGTAATAATAACCTTGCCTTGGCATCACTTCATTTGCCTGCCCACCCCATCTTTGGTGCTTTTGCTGTCATACCTTTTACTTCTACATACATAAGAGCATCCACCTTAGAATGGTATTATATCTGTTATAAACTGTCAGTTGTCTGTTAAGAAATCCAAGAAAAATACGTCCAAATATACAGTTTGTATTTCCCTAGCTATTTGACGTTTCTAGAGCTCCTCTTTTCTTCTTGCAGACTGAAGTTCCCACCTGATATCATTTCCCTTCAGACTGAAGAAGATCTATTCACATGTTGTGCAGTAATGTAAATCTGCTGACAACAAATGCTCACAGGTTCTTTTATATGACAATGTCCACTTCATTCTCAGTTTTAAAGGACATTTTCAGTGGATAAAGATTTTTGGATGAACTGTTTCCTTTCCTTTCAGCACTTTACAGATAGCTTCCATTCTTTCCTAGGAGAAGCCAGAAACCTAGGAGAGCCATTGTTCCTGCTGTCCCTCTTTCTGTACTATGTCTTTTCTTCCTCTGGCTGCTTTAAGCTTTTCTCTTTATCTTTGGTTTTTGGCAGTTTGAAAATGAAACTATGCCTGATGTGTATAGGCATAGTTTTATTTGTATTTCTCCTGCTTAAAGTTTGCCAAGTTTCTTGCATCTATAGTTTTTAAAAAAATCAAATTCGGAAAATTTCAGTACTTATTTTTTCAAATACAGCCACACCTCCATTGATCGCACTTCGCTTTATTGTACATTGCAGACATTGCTTTTTTAAATATATAAATTGAAGGTTTGTGACAACCTGTGTTGAGCAATTCTATTAGCACCATTTTTCCAACAGCTTGTGCTCACTTTTTGTCTCCGCATCACATTTTGGTAATTAATAATATCTGAAAATTTTTCATTATTTTTATTTTTCATAAAGATGGGGTCTGGATGTGTTTCCCAGGCTGGTCTTGAACTCTTGACTTCAAGCAATTCTCTTGCCTTGGTCTCTCAAAAGTGTTGGGATTATGGGCATGAGCCACCATGCCTGGTTGTTTCATTATTTTGGTGTCTGTTATGATGATCTGTGATTTAGTGATTTTGGATGTTGATATAGTTTGGCTTTGTGTCCCCACCCAAATCTCATCTTGAATTGTAATCCTCACACGTCAAGGGAGAGAATTGGTGGGAGGTGATTGGATCATGGGGGTGATTTGCCCCATGCTGTTCTCATGATAGTGAGTGAGATCTCACGAGATCTGATGACTTTATAAGGGGCTCTTTCCTGTTTGCTCACCACTCTCTCTCGCCTGCCACTGTGTGAGATGTGCCTCTTCCCCTTTTGCCATGACTATAAGTTTCCTGAGGCTTCTCCAGCCCTGTGGAACTGTGAGTTAATTAAACCTCCTTTCTTTAGAAATAATCCAGTCTTGGGTATGCTTTATAGCAGTGTGAAGACAGACTAATACAGATGTTACTAATATAATTGTTTAGGGGTGCCATGAACTGTGCCATATAAGACAGTGAACTTGATCAGTAAATGTTGTGTGTGTTCTGTCTACTCCACCGTCTGCCTATTCCCTCATCTCTATCCCTCTCTTCAGGTCTCCTTATTCCTTGAGACATAACAACACTGAATTTAGGCAAATAATGACCCTATAATGACATCTAAGTTAAAGTGAAAGGAAGCATCATATGGCTCTCACTTTAAACCAAAAGCTAGAAATGATTAAGCTTAGTGAGGAAGACATGTCAAAACCTCAGATAGGCAGAAAGCTAGGCCTCTTGCACCAAACATTTAGCCAAATTAAGAATGCAAAGGAAAAGTTCTTTAAAAAAATTAAAAGAGCTACTCCAGTGAACTCACAAATAATAAGAATTATTGCTGATATGGAGAAATTTTTAGTGGTCTGGATAGAAAATCAAATGAGCTATAGCATTCTCTTAAGCCAAAGCATAATCCAGAACAAGGATATAACTCTCTTCAAGTCTATCAAGGCTGAAGAAGTGAGGAAACTGCAGAAGAAAAGTCTGAACATTGGTTCATAAGGCTTAAGTAAAGAAGGTGTCTTTGTATAATATGAAGCAGCAGGTGTTGATGTAGACACTGCAGTAAGTTATCCAAAAGATTTAGCTAAGATAATTGTTAAAGGTAGCCACATTAAACAAAAGATTTTCAATGTCGATAAGCCAGCTTGCTATTGGAAGAAGATGTAATTTAGGACTTTCATAGCTAGAGAAGAGAAGTCAATGCCTAGCTTCAAAGTTTTAAAGGACATGCTGACTCTTGTTAGGGGCTAATGAACCTGGCGACTTTCATTTGAAGCCAATGCTCATTGACTATTCTGAAAATCTTAAGGCCTTTAAGAATTATGTCAAATCTACTCTGCCTATGCTCTTGAAATGGAACAACAAATCCTGGATGACAGCACAACTGATTCTGATTACAGTGTGGTTTACTGAATATTTTAAGCCCACTGTTGAGACCTACTGCTCAGAAAATAGATTCCTTTCAAAATATTGCTTCTCTTTGATAATGCATTGGGTCACCCAGGAGCTCTGATGGAATTGTACAGAAGGTGAATGTTGTTTTCATGCCTGCTAACACAACATCCTTTCTGTACCCCATAAATCAAGGAGTCATTTTGACTTTCAAGTCTTGTTATTTAAGAAATACATTTCATAAGGCAGTAGCTGCCATAGATAATGATTATTCTGATGGGTCTGGGCAAAGTAAACTGAAAACCTTCTGGAAAGTATTTGCCATTCTACATGCCATTAAGAACATCTGTGATTCACTGGAGAAGGTCAAACCCTCATATATAACTTTGAGAAGTTCAAGACTTCAGTAACCTGAAAAGTAGAGGAAGTAACTGTAGATGTAGTGTAAATAGCAAGAGAACTACAATGGAAATGGAGCTCGAAGATATGACTGAATTGCTACAGTCTCATTATAAAACCTGAATGAATGAGGAGTTGTTTCTCATGGATGAGCAAAGGAAGTGGTTTCTCAAGGTAGGATTTACTCATGGTGGAGATGCCATGAACATTGTTGAAATGATCACAAAGAATTTAGAATATTCATAAACTTAGTTGATAAAGCAGAAGCAGAATTTGAGAGGACTGACTTTAATTTTGAAAGCAGTTCTCTTGTGAGTAAAATGCTTTCAAACAGCGTTACATGTTACAGAGTATTTTTTCATGAAAGGAAGAGTCAATTGATATGGCAAATTTCATTGTTGTCTAATTTTAGGAAATTGCCACAGTCATCTCCACCTTCAGTAACTACCACCCTGATCAGTCAGCAGCCATCAACATTGAGGCAAGATGCTTTACCACCAAGAAGATTATGACTCTCTGAAGGCCCGGATGATTTTTTTTAGCAATAAAGTAATTTATAATTCAGGTATATACATTACTTTTAAAGACCTAATGTTATTGCACAATTAATAGATGATAGTATAGTGTAAATATAACTTTTATATTTCCCAGGAAAAAAATTGTGACTCACTTTACTGTAATATTCGCTTTGTCATGGTGGCCTGGAACTGAACCCACAATATCTCTGAGGTATGCCTGTAATTTAATTTTCTGCCTCATTCTCATTCTCTCTCATTCTCTTCTTCTTGGAGAATGTAATGTTATAATAGTTGCTATGAAGTCTTTGCCGGCTAAATCCAAAATCTGGCCCATCTTGAAGTCAGTTTCCATTGATTGCTTTTTTTTTTCTTGACTATGGATCACATTTTCCTGCTTCTCCACAGGTCTAGTAATTTTTGTTTGTGTACTGGACAATGCTGATGATCATTGTAGAGATTCTGGATTCTGTTGTCTTCCTTTTAAGAGTGTTTATTTTGCTCTAGTAGGTAGGTCAATTACTGATTTAAATTTGTGTGGGTTTGGTTTTATGCTTTGTTAGAGCACAACTGTGTAAAGCTCAAGGTGTTGATCAGGACCTTCTGACTTGGTGGGATTCAATCTCCAGATTCTGTCCTCCCTGTAGATCTTGTAGGTGCTTAGTTTTAGGCTTTTTTTTTAAGGGTTGGTAAAGAGAAGGCCTTATACTAAGGGAATGGCCCTTTCTCCTAAGCCTTTCTCCTGGCATTTCTAGTATTTCAGTTGGGTTCTCAGGATTTTAATGAGGTATTAATGCAATCTCTTTCCTCTGTCTGGGCCAGACCTCCAATGCTCCCCAGCACTGATTAACACAGCTCCTCCCTGGAAAATCTCATGTTGTCTCACCCTGTGCATGTGGATTCCAACTCTTAGCCAAGGATAGGGAGGGGAACCTCATGCTGTCTTCTGACCTGTCCTCTTCACTCATGCACTGCTCCCTTCTCTCTGGTGTCTTATACTGTAGAGACCAGCCTTTTTAACTGCCCTTAACTCTTATTTCTGCCTCCTCAGCTCTTTGAAGGCTTCTTTGCTTGGCTTAGACTCTAGCTCACTACATTGCAGTCAGGAAATTGTCCCTAGGCAAAGAACCAGGATAATTGTGAGGATTCATATCATGAGTTTTCCTTCCCTTTGGAAGATTACAGTATTGTGTTGCCTGTTGTCCAACGCTTAAGCAAAGTTGCCTCAGAGATTTTGTTGAGTTTTATGTTTTTTGTTTTTTTTTATAGTGGGAGGAGTATAAAATGGAGTATTATAATCATTATAACCAGAAGCAGAAATGCTTTTTATTCTTTAAAAAAGTTTGTTGTTATTTTTAATTTCAATATGTATTACTGTAAGGAGGCTGGTGATCTGGGTTCACTCTGTCATTTTTACCCCAAAGTCTTATATTTTAATACAAATCTTTACTTTTTTTGTTTACATCTACAGTTTATGAATATCTCTATTCTCTTCCTACTCTTCTCTCTGAATGAGAAAACTTTTCTTATTTCCCCCATTCAATTCCTCCAGATTGAGGACATGTTTATCATTGCCTTATTTTATTCTTCCCCTTGCTATTTCCTGTGTTCAGGTCATATGAAAATTTATGGTAGATTGTCTTTTAACAATTATTTAAAATTACTTATCAATTTAATTTTGATTCTTTGCTTATTATATCCTTGTACTTTCCTCGTTGATTCACTTTTTTTTTTTTTTTTTGAGACAAGGTCTCACTCTGTTGCCCAGGCTGGAGTGTAGTGATGTGATCCTAGCTCACTGCAACCTCCGCCTCCCAGGTTCAAGTGATTCTCCTGCCTCAGACTCTCAAGTAGCTGGGACTACAGGCATGCACCACCATGCCCAGGTAATTTTTGTATTTTTAGTAGAGAGTAAAAAATTTGTATTTTTAGTGAAATCCCCATTTTGGCTAGGCTGGTCTTGAACTCCTCACCTCAAGTGATCCACCCACCTCAGCCTCCCAAGGCACTGGAATTACAGGCATGAGCCATGGCACATGACTCACTTATTTTTTAAGCTTTGCTAATTTAAAAGCTTTTAATTTTATAGTATTTATTTTCAGATGGAGTTTGTGCATAATAGGTGGGTTAGTTTTTTTTTTTGTTTTTTTTTTTTTTTTTTGAGACAGAGTCTTTTTCTGTTGCCCAGGTGGAGTGCAGTGGTGACATCTTGGCTCACTGCAGCTTCAATCTCCTTGGCTCAATCAATTCTCCTACCTCAGCCTCCTGAGTAGCTGGGACTACAGGGGCGTGCCAGCCCGCCTCGGCCTCCCAAATTGCTGGGATCACAGGCATGAGCCACTGTGCCTGGCCCTGGTCAGTTACTTTGAATCCTTGCAACTCCATGTTTTGCTGTCGTAAGAGTTTTGTCTGAAAAAAGAGTTCTAGATTGATAATCATTCTCACTCAGAAATTTGGGTAGCTTATTCCATTATTTTCTTGTATTTAGTGTTGCCACAAGAAGTCTGATGCTACTGTGATTATTATTTCCCTTAGAATCATTTAGGACTTTCTCTTTCATCCCGGTTTTCTCTAACTTTGCTCTGATGTGTTTAGATGTATTTCTCTTATCCACCCTGTGTGACAACTTGGTGGACCCGCTCGATTAGAAGACTCGATCTTCTTAAAAAGCTCTGGAAATATTTCTCCAATTATTTTGTTGACTATTTTCTTCCTTCTAGTATCTTGTTTCTATTTCAGGAACTCCCATTACATAGATATTAGAACTTCTTGATTTATATATTGTCTCATATTTCCTTTCATTCTTTTTTGAAACAGCTTTACTGAGGTATGACTCATATATCATACAATCCTCCATTTAAAGTGTTCTCTTTAGTGGTTTGTAGTATATTTACAAGGCAGCATAGCCATCTCTACAATAAACTTTAGAACATTTTCAGTATTCCTAAAACCCTATAACCATTATGTCACTCCTCTTTTCCCCAACCCATTCCCTCCAGCCCTGAGTACCACTCTTTGACTTTCTATTTCTGTAGATTTGCTTATTCTTCAAATTTCATACACCTGGAATCATACAGTATGTGAATGGCTTCTTTCACTTACATTTTCAAAGCATACATTCACTTACATTTCAAAGCATA